GTGAGAGGTGACACAGAATGTCATATGGGGGAAGCACGGAGAATGAGGGTGAGTGGGGTTACGTAGTGTTGTAAATTTTAATTAAAAATTGTAACCAACAAATCTCATTAATTTTAAAAACCATTTCTAGTCGGTTATGAAGTTATTACTTACAAATTTAATGTCAAAAGTTACACATTTTCCGAAACAACAATAGTTACAAATTAATTATTTTCAAAATTAATTCCAACCGGTTACGAATCCACTGTCTTCAAATAAAAAAAAATTGAAACTTGTGTCAGTTACCCATGCCTTCTTGTTTTTAAATGGATTCATGCGTTTCTGTTTCTTTTTTTTTTAAATGGGTTTAAATCAATACATCATTACATCAGTTTCATATCTCGTTTGGTAATAGCAGACATTATTGCATTTATCTACATCAATTTCAAATCTTTTTGATAACCAAATTCATTTCAAATTTTAACATTTTGTCTACTTCGGTTACATTGTGAAGCCCTATAAAAAGGCAGCCTAAATATCTACCAAAGGCTGATACAATTTTATGATCTGCACTCTTATTTCACAAACATAATATACAAACTCTTTTTAGGCAAAGAAAAAGTGGTGGGGTAGAGCTTTCTTTACAAGAGTGCAATACTTGTAAAGATACAACGAGGCGAAGGTTTGGCTATTGTATCTTGGGGGCGGTATGACCATTAGAACTGTTGCACCAGTGGCACGAAACGTCCTAAAGAGAGTGATTGATCCATGCCTTAGCTCAAGCTCCTCATACTCTCGATGTCATCTTTCTAATTTTTATTTTCATCTTTAATTAATTATTTTTGCTAATCTTTTGTCTATTTTCTTCTACTTATTTTACGAGGAACAACAATTTTAGGACGTTTCGAAAGAAAAATTCTTTAAAAAATGAGTTTACCTCGTGAAAAACCTGTTAAGCTCGCTAATGATCTTAACATGCCTTTTCGTTTTAATGGTGAGCATTTCAAAAGATGGAAAGGAAAAGTTTTGTATTATCTTAATTTGTTAAATTTGGCATATGTCCTCAACGAGGAAAATCCTATTAATTTGTCAACCGAAGGTATGAGTGCTGAGGAAAAGAAATCTCATAAGAAGAAAGTCCAAAAGTGGGAGAAAGATGAATATAGCTGCCGCAACTCTTTACTTAATTGCCTTTCTGATGAGCTTTATGATTACTATGAAAGAACATACTCCATTGCCAAGGAAACTTGGGATCCTTTGCATAAAAAATATGACACAATAGCATAGAGGCAGAAATCAAAGGTACCGTAACCAATTTTGGCGCCAAGAGGAGCTTGTTGAGTAAAGTGGCCTTCTTCCTGGGTTTGCATGAGACAATGCTTCTTTGGTCCAGAGTCATTGTTAAGCCTGTGGTGGATGACACCATTTTCAAGGTGGCTAGAGAGGAGAGGTGGGTTCAGAGGGTGGTGTTGGCCGTGAGCTTGGGTAGCTTTTGGTGGTGGAAGCTAAGAGATGGGGTGGACGGTCTGGTGGTTGCGGTGGAGTCCAAGACGTCGTTGATGGGCATAGAGCCGGTTGATTTTCTTGGTTGGTGGTTGTATTACGCGACCGTGACAATTGGGATGGTAAGGGTCGTTAAAGCTCTTATGTGGCTCGGTATGGTTTTGCTCTTTGAAACGGTAAGAATTCAAGACTCAGACGACTATGAACAAACCATTGAGGATGAAGAAAAAGTATAACCTTGAAGTGAACAACGCGCAAAGAGTTTTTCTTTTCTTAATTTTCTCTTTCACACCAGTTATATAGTTTTTCTGGTCAATGATGATGTTAATGTTGTGTTTTTCTTTCTTAATTATTTCTTGTTACTTATATAGTACCAAAGATTCTTAGTTTCTTGTACAAAATTAATAATCTGAAATAATATGACCAATACCTAATCCTCCAACAACCTCCTGGGTCCAAACCTCCATTTCTCCCTGCTGATTGTTGTCCTTCACCTTCCTTTGAGGGGTTCTAATGTTGTCCTTGTTTCATCCTTTCCAAGTGGTTGAGTGTATAAATAATGTGAATCGCAATGGTTGCTTAACACCATATATCCATATTCAAGTCCATGCACCAATTTGGACACATTTGGATATTGTTCAGAGTCTCGAATCATTAACTCTAATATCATTGTTTGATCACACGCACACATACCATTAAAGAAATCAAAAGGGGAGCTCAATAAAGCTTAATACATATGCTTCAAATATCGCCTTGAACAAAACGCCAATTACACCATAAATCTTAAGTTATATCATGTGAGAAATTCTTTCATGTAAGAAGATACCACATTAGGTCATTAGCAATATTTCCATCCACTAATATGACAATAAATTTGTACTTCATTTATAATTAAAAAGATTTAAAATGATATGATTACAATATTATGTGATATTGTAAATTTATAATTTTAATGTCATTAAATAATTAGCTTTTTTTTTTTATAAGAATCAACTCGTAATGTTATAGACATCTAATCATTTAATGACACATACATATACGTGAAAATAATAAATTTATACTCTTACATGGCATTATAGTTAGGGTTTGTCTATCCTATGATAAGCAATTATTAGTCAATAATTGTCTTAAAAAATGTGAAATTTTAAATTTAAAAAATAAGTTTTGATTTTAATTTTAAAACAAACAAATAAAAAGACTAACATGTGGCATTTTGTAGATAAAACAAAATTTAATTTTATTATTTTTAAGATAAACAATAATAATAATTATACAATTATTACTTCTTATTCTGTATCCTAAGGGTATAAGATAAATTAATGCTTATAGTTATATTGCCTTACAAAACTAATTTGTTACAATTTATTAATACATCAGTGCACCGGATTCCGCTAACATGCAAGAATTTCTCCTGGGCTGCTGTGAATCCCATTGACAGACCTGTCACTCGGTAACCTAACATTCGGGCCTACTCTCTAGGCCCATCATGTCCAAGCCTAGTGAAGTTCAAAGGCCCACAAAGGAAATCAAGAAAAAAAAAAGAAAAAAGGGTAAGAAACGGAAAGGCTGAGCCCACAGTATAGTCCACGTCACTGCGCCTTCATACCGAGAACGTGTTCAGTAGTGGTCTGTTCCTTTTTCTTCAGATTCTCTGTCCTCTCGAACCAGTTGCACGGCAGAGCTCGGAATCAGCCAGCCAGCCTGCCCAGTTATGGTGTCCAAAGCTTCCGACTCCTCCTCCAAATCCAGAGTTAGATTCTTTTCTTATTCTCGATCTTAAATCTGCTTTTTTCTTTTCAATAATCTGATTCTGCATTCATCTAGCTTTTATCCCCTTAATCGATCCTTTCACGTAATTATTCGATTTTTCTTAATTCGAATCGCTTGATAATGTATATAAATGTTTCGAAATGCTCGAATTCTATCCGGAAAACAGTAAATTCTAGGGAGCAGAGGTTTCTCCTGATTTTTTGTCACTCCACTTATGCTCTGTTTGGCTGCTGAGAATTTCTGTGGGAAAATAAGAGAATCGAAAAGAATTTATAGGATTCTGCGTGAAATTGCTTGATCGAAACGATTGATTATGTATGGAGCGTCTTTGTGTGAAATACTTTTGATGAATTCTGTATTGATTGGCAGAAATCGCTTGGAGAACAGTCTAGTGGTGGCATTGGAAACTTGACACATAAATTAAATCAACTTAAAAAGCAAATTCAAGCAGAGAGAGTTGCTTCAATAAAGGTAGATCAATTCTGTTGTATTTATTTATTTATTTATTTTAGTTACAAAAACATTTGTCAATTTTAGTCATTCTTAATGTTTCAAATTTGTCGCTATTTTTTTTACTGTTTATTGAGAAGGAAAGTGAAATTCAATTTTTATTTTTTTTCAATCAAATGTGATGTGGATATCAAACCGGGAGTCTGCTGTGTTATACTGTTGAAGATGAGTAAATAATCATATTTGCTTATATGTTGAATAGGAAAAGGTTGAGAGAAATAGAAAGAAACTAGAAGGTCATGTTTCAAAGATTCTGTTAGCCACATCAAATAGGAATGGTTTAAATGTTGACGAGAGTGGATCTAGTAATGTGCTTTTTTTAAGAATGGTAAATCCCCTCTGCAAGTATGCCGCGTTTTCTCAAGGATCAGTGGATAAAGACAGTGCAAACACTCACGAAGTTGTACCCTCTACAAGTGTGAAGCTGATGTTTATTGAGAAGTTACCACCATATACGACCTGGATATTTCTGGATAGGTATGTTGAATAATATCACTAAGATTCTGTGAGTCCATTTTGCTATGGAAAGTTTCATAAATTTAAAGTTTGGGTTGGAACTATTGGGGCTATAAACTTATCTGAAATCATAGATTAATTATGTTTTCTGGGACAATAATTGTGGAGATTCTGTGCAAAGACTTAACAACATGTTGTATGGCAATACATTTGAGAAGCTAAAGCCTTACGGTTAAGGCCAATGATGCTAAATAGATCTCTAAAGTGTTGTGAAGAATTTTTTTTTTTTTTTTTCTCTTCTTACTCAAATATGTCTTACACAGCACAGAAACCAAAGAATGGCTGAAGACCAGTCAGTGGTGGGGAGGAGACGTATTTACTATGATCAACATGGCAGCGAAGCATTGATCTGCAGTGACAGTGAAGAAGATACTGCAGAGCCTGAGGAAGAGAAACATGAATTTGCTGAGAGTGAAGATCGTATAGTATGGTATGTCAATTAAGAGGAAACATTCATAGAAATGAATTTATTTTTTTATGAAGCAAAATATTCTCCAGAAAAAATGTATTTAACTAGTATTGAGAACGTTAAACTTCTTTAACTTGAGAATAAGAAAGATAAGGACTGCAGATTGACACTTTTCAGAAAATTAAATTCTTTTGGTGTAGAATGATATTGATAGGATGCTGGAGTGAAAGAAGAGGAGAGATCTAACCTGAAACAGGAAAGTAAAAACGTTTTTTTCATACGATATTTTTAAGAATCTTTGTCATGGTATTTACTATTTATGGTGCACAAGTTATATGTGACAATTAAACTTTTAAGTTTTTAGAGCATATGAGACACATTGTTGGCAGAGAGGATGTTAGCTACTGTTTTAAGTGGTGACCTTCTGGTTTGTTATTCCCATCCAACTATAGGATTAATTCAAGCATTTTATATTCTATTGTGTTCAATTTGGCAGGACTGTCTCCCAGGAGTATGGACTAGGTGAGGAAGTAGTGAACATTGTCAGCCAGTTTATTGGAGTAAATGTTTCTGAAATTGAGGTAACATGAACTAGCATGCTAACATGGTTCATGGTATTTGTGGCTTTTCTTCCTTTTTTAACTTCTTTAAGTCTTTGCAAAATCCCCTACCTTTTGAGTATATGTTTATTGGAACTTTGTTTTGAGATTTGCAGGAGCGGCACAATTTCCTCAAGGAGAAATACAAAGATAGTGAGCAAAACTTGAGAGATCCTGGTGATTCTGGACTTGAAAAGGGCATATCTTTAGACAAGAGTCTCAATGCTGCCTTAGATTCTTTTGATAACCTCTTTTGTCGCCGTTGCTTGGTAATTGGTCTCTTAGCACTTCTGGTCTTAATGCTATTCTGTTAATATATGTCAATGTTGACAGCCTTTTTTCATCTTTTATTCCCTCTTATCTGCCTCTTTTTTTTTTCTTTTTTTGGTTGGACAGTTATTTGATTGCCGTCTACATGGTTGTTCTCAAACTTTAATCAATCCAGTAAGTAGCTGCCCTTTTCATATCTTTCACTTTAATATGTTCATTTTATTAGTTTTTCTGATCAGAAACTACTGCTTGACAGAGTGAAAAGCAGCCATATTGGTCTGAATATGAAGATGACAGGAAACCTTGCAGTGACCAGTGTTACCTCCGGGTTTACTTCTTCACCTTCTAACGGATTTTAAGTTACCCATATTTGACTCTTAAAATTTTGGTTGAAAAGAACCTTGTCCTAGATCACTATTTCATTAAAATTGTTCATAAAGTCTTTTTGTTGTACTATGGTCTTACTAATCAGTACTTTTAAAACCGTTGGTACATTTCATTTGCCATGACTCAATTCCTTTTGATTTTCTCTTTTTGGATTTGAGCTTGGGAAAGTTTTTCTCTTTCCATTTTGGTTGGTTGTGGAGGTTGTTTAATACAATGAATTTAACTCCAAGACCTTGCAGTTAAGAGCACTCAAAGATGTGCAGGAAGGTTCTGGTCCAGGTGCCATCCATAGAGTGAATGATAAAACTTTAGAAGAAAAAGACACAGCTGCGCCACATGAAGCTGAAAAGCCAAATGTTGGTAATGATGCAGATCTGATGCAAGATGAAAGAGGGATTTGTGAAGAAGCAGCCCCTGGTTCATCAGAAGGTGTACGGGGCTCAGAAGTTGTTACAACTGAAAATTTGGAGACAGCTCCTCTGGAAATAGGTGACAATGAAAGTTTAGGTGTACCTGCCCCAGAAGTTACAACAGAAAATTTGGAGACATCTCCTCTGGAAATAGGTGACAATGAAAGTTTAGGAAAGCGCAAGTACTTACCAGATATGAATACAGGAGGGAATGAATCAGTTCATGGTTCTGATGATCTCCAGGAACCTGCAAGTAAGAAACAGAAGACAATATTAGCTTTGGGTGTAGCTTCCATGTCAAATGAAGCTATTGGAAATCTGGATTGCCCTTCAAGTGCCAGAAGTCCACAACTAGATGTTGGTGCACCCAACGATAATGATGCTCAAACTAAAAGTAAAAACAACCAAAAGGATTCTGCAGAATCTACACCTCATAATTTTACATTATCTGGTAACACCATTTGTGATGAAGCTGATGACAATGTAAGAGATGGAAACAAAGACATTGTTGAAGTGCCTGAGTTGAAGCAGTCATCAACAGATTGGAAACCTATTGAGAGAGAATTGTATTTGAAAGGAGTAGAGATATTCGGGAGAAACAGGTATGGAAGATCACAACTTGTATCTTTCTCTTGGAATAACCCATTATAGATGGTTCCAGATACTGATTTTATGGAATGTAGATGTCCATTCTACATTTTTTTAATATTTCCATTTGTAGTTTAGGAACTAATTTGGACTACTCTGTAAAAATTATGTTGGGAAAGCTAAAGTTTGTTCAGATAAATATCTTAACCAAGATCATCTAGTGTGTTCATATATGTTCAATATTTTCTGCTCTATGTCATACATCTAATTGATTTGCTACACCTTTCTTCCACTTATTTGTTTTTATAAAATAATAATAATAATAATAATAATAATAATAATAGTAGTAGTAGTAGTAGTAGTAGTAATAATAATAAGAATAATTGTTGTTCTTGTGTTTGTGTATGATTTTCTGCTTGGCAGTTGCCTCATAGCCAGAAACTTACTTTCTGGTTTAAAGACTTGCATAGAGGTGTCTACTTACATGTGTGATGGTGGAGCTTCAACACTTCACAGATCTGTTGTGCCAAGTTCATTTTTTGAAGAAAAGGGGAAATCTGAGTCAGATTATATGGTATGTATGATAATATTTTCACCATTCCTGTTAGATGGCCTTTCTAATACAAATAGGTGGAAAAGTTTATAACTCACATGTTTTGGGGCCCTGTGTTTGACATTGTCACTAACAGAACTTGAGAAGCTGCAGTTAGATTATCCTATATAACCTTTCATTTTATGTTTAAAAACTTACTCATTGAACAAGAAAGATTACATTAATATCTTTTGAAACTTCTAAAATATGAGAAAGGATTTATGATCCCACAAAACAAAATATTATGAAGAATCCACAACCTTAGTTACATGTAAAGGGTTTGATCACTTAGTTTTTAAGAACTGAAAAAAGAAACACCATCTGTGAACATGATCTAGTATGGTGTTAAAACTTCAAGAAAGATTGCATTGATCTTTCAAATGGTAACAGAGAATCAAGTTGTCTTGATCACTGCACTTGGCATTTGACTTTTTAAAATTTATTTTGCAACCACAATAAACTCATTTTATATCAATGCGACATATCACATTTATCATTTTATTATTTACTCTGCATGTTAGGAGCAGGAGTCAACAAGACCACGCTTATTTCGTAGAAGAGGCAGAACAAGGAAGCTTAAATATTCTTGGAAGTCTGCTGGCCATCCATCCATGTGGAAAAGAATTGCAGATGGAAAGAATCAGTCTTGCATTCAATATACACCATGTGGATGCCAGTCCATGTGTGGAAAGGAATGCCCTTGTTTGCACAATGGAACTTGCTGTGAAAAATATTGTGGGTAAGATGAATGGTTTGACTTTTAACAGCGGATTGAGTTGCCTCGAAGACTGCTCTTTATGTAGTTTTTGAATTTTTCGAATAATTATTAACATGTGAAAGATTTACCTTAGTGAATTTGAAAATTTTGCGAGAGACAATAATCTTATTATGGGCTGAAATGTTACAATGGTTATTTTTTATTTTCTTTAGTCAATTTGATCCTAGCTAAAAATCTTTTTATTCAGCTGCTCAAAAAGTTGCAAGAATCGGTTCAGGGGATGTCACTGTGCAAAGAGTCAATGCAGAAGCCGGCAGTGCCCATGTTTTGCTGCCGGGCGTGAATGTGACCCAGATGTTTGCCGGAATTGCTGGGTTAGGTAAAGTTCTATATGCTCGTTAATTTCATGTTTGAAGTCATCAATATGTAAGATAAAGTCTTCTTTTTATTGATTTGCCTGCCATATTGTGATTACCACATCATCAAGATCGTAATGATTAGTTTCTTAAAAGCTGTTATTACACCTTTATCCAGAAACAGATGTTTTTAAGAAAAGAAATATCAACATGTCTTTCTGGTTTAGAGACTTCAAATGGTTCTGTTACTCATATGCCAGTATGGCCTCTTCTGGACATTGGATAATTTGATATTTACGTTAACTATTTATATCTTTAGAATTTTGGAGCTTTAATCAGTACACTGATAGATAATATTCTTATTTCATCCAACTACAGCATTTCTAATGGCATACTTTTGTTCCTTTTGCAGTTGTGGAGGTGGTTCATTGAATGAGCCACCCAAAAGAGGAGATGGTCAATGTGGAAACATGAGACTGCTTCTGAGGCAGCAGCAAAGAGTGAGCAACTTAGACTGTTTTAGTTGTAAAATCCACGGTGTAGAAATGGTTGAGTCTTTAGAAGGCATGAGTTTTGTAACCCCTTAAACCTTCTATTCTTCTCTTCAGATCCTCTTGGCAAGGTCTGATGTTGCTGGATGGGGAGCCTTTCTCAAGGTATGATGGTTAAATATTTTCTTATTTTATAGTTTTCTTCTTGCTACTATGTTTCAGTGGAACCTCATGATTTGATTGTAGAATTCTGTCAACAAAAATGATTATCTTGGAGAATATACTGGTGAATTGATCTCCCACCGGGAAGCTGACAAACGTGGGAAAATTTATGATCGTGCAAATTCATCATTCCTTTTTGACTTGAATGATCAGGCAAGTTATTTAAGATTTCTTGTTGCGGAATTTGCTTGTGTAAATGACTATTCAACATTGAAGAACATTTTTGCTGATCCTGAAGTTGTCGAAAAGGTTGAATGTGCATTTATCTCAATGCATTGGTTTCAAGTTCAGAAAATGAATATCTAGATAGACTCCATCTTCGTTGTTTAAAGTTTAAACTGGTGTGATGGAATCTTTTAAAAGCTGCTACCTGTTCTTTGTAGTATGTTCTTGATGCATATCGCAAAGGAGACAAATTGAAATTTGCAAACCACTCTTCAAATCCAAACTGTTATGCTAAGGTATACCAGTCTCTTCAATCTCTCAATATATTTCTTTTGGGTTGAGCTAATATATTAGTTTGTTCAGGTAATGCTGGTGGCAGGAGATCACCGGGTAGGGATCTTTGCCAAGGAGCATATTGAAGCTAATGAAGAGCTCTTCTATGATTATCGTTATGGCCCTGATCAAGCACCTGCTTGGGCTCGGAAACCCGAGAGTTCCAAGAGAGACGATTCATCAGTCTCTCAAGGTAGAGCAAAGAAACATCAGTCTCATTGATAAATCGGGTTCGTAATTCTATTTTCACATTCCTCTATCTACACCTACTAGGAGCAAAACTTCATGATCAAAGCATATGTGAATTATGTTCTTGATGGTATAAAGATGCGTAACGTATTAGTGTATGCTATAAGGGTCTACAAATGAGGTAGAAACAAGGTGATTAACATTTAATATTGGCAATAAGCTTACTAATTAGCAGCTATTTGTAGCGAGCACTGGTATTGAAATTTTACAGTGCCGTGAGAGTGGGCATGTATATATTCTTGACATTATAATAAAATGTGAAGTTTTTAAAATCTTCGTTCCCCGGATTTATGTACCCATGATAATCTATCCAAAAATCATTCTTTTGGTAGTTTTTTGACCACGGGTTGGAATCGATCATTGAAATTGGTCCATATATTAAGGGACGTCTGCCTAGTAAATGGCGAAATGTTGTTCTTCCCACTTGGGAAATGATCATAATAATATTATTTTTATTTTTTTTTTATAGAAGTATAGTTGTATTAATAATTAAATTAATTATAATGTAAATTATACCCTTTCATATAGGTTAAAAGCACATTAAGGATGACTTATAACTCTAATATAAAAAGTTGGAAAACAATTAAACATTAAGAATCTCTAAATATCAGAATATATGGTTGGTGGCATTAATAGGGTCGGTAAAAACATAATTTTATTTTTCTTGAACAAGGGGAATTTGGGGAAAAGTGAGGAATATTACAGCTGTCTCTATAGAGACTTCAACCTTGGCATGAGTCAAGATTTTTACTTCACATTGTCAGTTCAACTGGGGTTATTAGTGAAAAAACATAATAATTGAACTGTTTACTTGCATTGCATTTAGATGGAGGGTTTATTTGAAGGATTTGAAATATATATATATATATATATATATATATATTTAATAATGTTCAGATGGTGTTACGCGCGTACTTAACCAGAGTTACTAAAATGAAAACAAACTCTTTTCGATAAAAGGTTACCACCTTGTAGAAAAATAGATTTAAGTAACCATACTTGGGGAATGGAACTTGATGTTTCGGAATCTATTGGAGAAGTGATTACTCTCGTCAGGAATTTGATTTGCATCAGGCTGAATCTCAATTGAAGCTATTCCATTGGCACAAAAAAAATAAAATAATAATAATAATAGCTCTGAAACTTTCCCCACCATATATATCTAGCGAGGCTGCTCTAATCTTCACTTCACTGCCCCCACTATTTATAAGTTCAATTTTCTAAGATGAGTTTGCTCTGAACTTCAACTTCCTTGGGAGAATATCAGCTGCACTCTCTTGCACTTAAGTAGAATTACTAATTATATCATCCTCACTATCTTCTGGAGCTTCAACCTCACTATCTTGCCCCTCAATCCCCTTAAAATAAAAAATCTTTCACTTTCTCAATACTTGACTGGGAAATATGTATTGAATTTGAAACCAGTCTACCGCTTCATTTGATAACACTTTTTGGAGTTTTAGCTTTCAATTTTTGTCTTTTTTTTATTATTTTAAAAAGATAAAAATATTAAATAAAAAATGTAAAATGTTAACTAAAGTAAATATTAAATACATTTTATATATTTTTAATATGTTAAAAGACTAAGCGACCTACAACTGCGGTTACAACTGCTATTATAGATCAATACCGTGAGACTAAGCTTGAAAAGCATAGTTCAATTGAAGTTGGTGAATTGGAAGAGTTGGATTTGTTGACCCAGATAGAATAGAGAGGTGTGCATATATATGGAGTGAGGGAATTCCATTGTAGGTTTCGTTCTTACTTTTACATGACTTGGGCAGAGGCTTGGTCAAATATTGAACAACAATCAGAAAAATATCATTATTGAAAGCATACTACCATTTAAAGGAAAATGGATTTGTATAAAGATCCATCACATTGATCAAAAAGGGCAAAAATTGACCACAATGAGTCAAAAATTGACCATGTTTTTTTCTAGATAACATTACAACATCAAATACCCGAGAGCAACACAACTATTTTCAAGCAGAGAAAACAGCCTCAACAAGGGCATGCTTCTTCTTGGGGTAACCCATACCAAACATATGATTGAGATACACCCTCCCATCTTTCACGGTGGCAGCCGTGGCCAACCGATGTGAAGGGCCCTTAAACTTTGCCACAACAGAGGCAGTCTCCCATCCATCGGAGCTCTCTACTAATCTCCCAGAAGGGTTCCCTGCAACCACAAGCTTAGTTGGTGACAGTAGCTCTATACCATCACCAAATGTCAGTGGACCTCCAGCTACCTTAATCAACTTCACTTCTTCCCCCTTTGCCAAATCAATCTTAAACAAATTGCCGGTGAATGTATGAATGACTATCAAGTACCCATCTGGGTGGTAAACAATTCCATTCAATGCAATCAAGTTTCTATACCACTGCTTTGAAGTGAAAAGTGGGCTTCTAATGATGGATAGCAACTCACCATTCACCCCAACCTTCCAAATTTTACTGGCTTTGGCATCAGTAACATAAGCATTGCCTTCTGCATCAACAGCAACATCATCTGCAAACGCCTTCTCATCACCTGAACACATCAAAAGATCAGTTATTGTCAAAAGACGGCAATTAAATGCATGGAATTTTGGTTTAGCATTAAATGAATGACTCAAAGCTACCAAGTAATAAAACGCTGGAATGTGGCATGGTGAATTGGACCCCATTTTGTTCAAGAACAAATTAATTAATGCATCCACGTGAATGGCAAGATCTGTCGAAGGCTCTACCATACCTTACACACTAACTCAATCATTTTCCATATTTTAAGCCGGCATGATTAGTTGGCAAAGAACTTGCTTAATTTATTTTATCAACCAACTTAAAGAAATATTTGACAATCTATCAGTACGATGAAGGTAACCCAAAAAAAGTGATTAGCAGTTTATACTACAAAACAGTAGACCGTGGCGAATGAGTATAATATATAGACAGATAGATGGATTAGTTTGCCAAGCAAACTAATTTCTATGAAATATAAGAGAATAAAGAAAATTAAAACCAAAAGTCACAAAAGAACAGCTTCATAGACCTTTGATAATGGTGGGTTTGACCAAATAACCATTGGAAACTTTGAAGTCAAGAAAGACATGCCCCCCTGCTTACGTTGACCTGCCCTCACCTAACAAAGCCATTATTACAGCCACATTAACCCCACTCAGCCCTCATAACTAAATTGCAGAATGCCACAATAACCAATTTATCTATATTCCTTCTTTTCTATTTATCTTGTATTGATATGGTTAAAATCAATTATTCAAACCTCGGCAATATCAAGCAAACTAAACTAATTCCTTAATGTGAAAAAGAAAAAAAAAAAAAAGGGAATTCTGCAAAGACCAGTTGTGACACCAACTTGACCATAAGAACTATAACTACAGACAAAATGTTGAGATTCCAAGATGATTAATTTAACTAAAATTCCATTAATATAATGCCAAGATGCTTATTCTAACATGTTACTTTATGGTAAACAAAGTGAAAATTTCCAGATCGAACAACCAGTAGCATCAACAGAGGGAAAATTTAAAAAAAAAAATGAAATTAAAATAAAGTATTTTATTTTTCTCCTTGTAAGTTCTTACTTGGGCCACTGAGCTGGGTCAGAAACAGGCGCTTCCAAGTGGACAAATCATAAGCAGCGAGAGCGCTGTACTGATTTCGGAGCACGTCGGCAACGGCGACAAGGACCCGGTTTCTGGGGAGGTCGATGGATATACCGAGGGATGAATTTCCGGTTAAGTCAGCGTCTTTGACAACGACAATCTCGTCCAATACGGTGTCAGGGGATTGACCGTCCGGGACGCGGATCTCACCAACGCCTCCCTCAAAAAAGGAGACGAGGAATCGGCGGCCAGTGTCGTCCCACTTGGCACACTCCCGTAGGAAACCGTTACTGTGGTAGTGGTAAACGTGGGTGGGGGGCTTGGCAAGCTCCAGGGAGATGATGTAGGCGACAGGAATTGCTGAGACGATGAAGAGGAAGAGAAGGAATCTGGGGGAGCATAGTGAAAGCGCCATGGCTGAGAAATGAAGAGAGAGGAGAAAGGAGAGTGCTGTTTGGACTGGTGTTGTTGAAACTTGAATTGATAAAGAAGAAAAGAGAGAGTGGGTGTGGGCGTTGTATCTGTAGTGTTACTACGTTTCGTGGGAGAAGAGGAAGGGAGAGGGAATTGGGAAACAGGTAGGGCGTTGATTACAAGACCAAAGCTGTTAGACTTTCTCTGTACTCCCTGGTTAATTCCTTATACTTTTGGCTATTGGGTTAAAGCCAACTATGATCCGTCTTCTTTTAATTTTCATTTATTGTCCTACCCATACTTAGAAATCGTTTTTCTTTTTTTTTTTTACAAAGGTAACGTTTAGTAGTGAATTTAAAAAATATTAATAATTAAAGATTCGATAACAAAATAGGTGATCTCTCACCCCCTTATTGAGTCACATTTAGAAATCCTTTAAGGACCTCCCTCTACTCCTCCAATATGTACTATTCTTCTCCTTCTCCTTTAAGTTTTCATAATAGTTACCTCCCTTAGCTAACACCCAATTAATACTGTTACTAACTCTTATTAACATTGTTGCTAATTCTAATTACCCAGATGCTTTTTTACTATTAAAATTCAACTCATTCATTATTTTATTATTATTTTTTGTTGAATTATATTGAGTGAGCCCCACAAATTTGTATGTCAACAGCCTGCGGCCAGATTAGCAATAAAGTAGAGAGAGTACAATAATATGTTTTGGAAGAGTAGAGGAAGGTCTTTGGATGATTTCTAGGTATGGGGAGGATGATGAACAAAAATTAAAAGTAGAGGGACTATAGTTGACTTTAACCCTAGGCTATTTGGTTTGAATTTTGAAAGAGGCCCGGATGGGATATTTTGTACAATCCAATTAAAGATGTTAACCTAATGTTTTAAGTTGAATGGACGAAATTATCTCCTCTCTTCTCTGTTTTCTCTTGGCCAAAACATGCATATTTCCCCTAAAATTAACGCATTAAAACAAATCATTTCATTAAAAAAATATTAACTTGATTTGTCAATTGACCTAAATTTAACTATTATTGTTAATTTTTTGTTTGACTTTAAGAGTAATAATTTACCGGCAATAGTTATATTTAAACTGCTTTCTCTTTTCTTTTCTTTTTTTTTTATCAAGTTACCAAGGGGCTGAGAAACCCAGCCCAAGGGAAAGGAAAGGCGGATGGCCTCGAACTCGAGGCCTATGAGTACTCCTATGCGGGAAGCTATTAATTGTTCTATTCATGAGTTCTCATTTAAACTACTTTCTTAAAAATAAAAATTTAAAGTAACAAATTGCATCGTAATAAATTATGTCAATATTTTTTTAGGTAATAATTTATTTCAACACGATAATTTTAAAAATAACTTGCACATTTAGCATAAATTCCTTAGATTTTAGGGCATTGGTTTGGGAGAAGGCCCAAAAACGGTCATTTTACCCAATCTAATTTATGCTTACTATTTTAATTTGATTAAACAAAATTATCTCCTCTACTTTCTCCCCCATTTTCCTCAAATTCACTTGGAGTGATAGGTTGGCTATAAGTTTTCCTATTTTATAAATATTTTAAAAATATATAAAATATTAATTAAATTTAATTAAAATATAGAAATTAATT